CAATTTCTTTTAGTCAGTAGAATGCAACACTCACCTTCTAAAACATGATTTATATGGAAAGTGAAGATGTCCTAGATGCACAACTATTCTGTATCAGATTCTGAAGAAAAAAAAAAAATCAAGCCCCCAAACTGACATCTAATACAGAAGATGTAAATTAAAAATATCATCTTGCAAATCTATTTTCAAAGATTTGCAAATCTTTGGAAATAGATTTGCAGTATAACCCACTTAATAAGCTTTCTTTTTCTGAAAAGCTTCTCTCCTCCCACTTCTGCTTCAAGACTAATGAATTCATGAAAATAGTAGCGTCATTGCATGACAACTATTATAAAGTACACCAAAAGTTCCAAAGTAATGAAATCCCTACAGGGTTGCATCTGTGAGTTTATGGATTTTAAATCTAAGACATGAGGTTTTCTAGAGCTAGAATCCTAGGCTCCCAGGCAATAGGAAACCCCAAAAATTGTGATCAAGAAAAAAAGCCAGTTATTTGAGTTAGCACAGTCTCTGATAAAGAGAAAAATTCTCTTACAATGTAAAACATCTTCACATAAAAGATGGGCAGAAAAGGCTATGATATATCACCACAATAAATTAAAAAGTGTGGTATATTAACATACTATTTACTTCACTTTAGTTCCTTTTTCCATTTAGTAGAATATGAAGGCAAGATCACATAGATTTTGCCTAAGCTTCCTCTTATATGAAGTGAAGTAACATCTGAAAATAATTTCAGAAAATAACATTAGTCATCAATCATTCTTTGTAGTCATGAATGTAAACAGCTGATACCACAATCCTGGTACATCAATGAGGAGTTAAAGAGACCTCTCATAAAATATGAGCAATTAAATAATCCTTACATATTAGCAAATAAGAATTGCGGCTATTACTCAATCAAAAGCACAGGACTAAAGGGTTTTGCAGATGGCTGATTGTTAATTTAGGAGCTGCAACAAGCTGTTTGTAGAAGGAGAAAGAGTAATGTTAAGTGAAGACTCAGCCCCCTCTCAAGAAAGGAAGATAAATACCTTTTGAGGAAGTACTGCAGCAAAACTGTCACAGATATGTCATTAATAACCAGTAGGTCAGGAGAGATGTTATGCTCAAGGTGGAGTAGAAGGTGAGGGGAAAAAAATTGCTCTGCAGGAGGCAAAGATCACAGCAAAAAAACCAAAACAAAACCAAACCAACCAACTAATCAAAAAAACCCCACAAAAACCAAACAACAAAAAAAACCCAAAACAAAACAAAAAAAAACAACAAAAACCAAAAACCAAAACAAAACAAAAAAACAAAACAAAACAAAAAAAACAAACAAAAAACCCAAAACAAAGCAAGACACAAAAAACCCCTCCCATACAATGTTTCTGCTGCAGGATCTTGCTCAAAAAGTCTAATACTGCCTTGACAACTAGTGGCATTACACTAGTACTACAAGTACTACAAAGTACTTGTAGTACTACAAAGTTAAATATTATCCAAATTTAAGAAGAATTAGCTCCTACTTACGTACAAGACTACACCAGATGCTCCACTTAGATGATAAACATAGGTTTAACCAGACCAAAAAAAGCAGCAACATCTGCCTTTATTGAGTCTTCCTCCTGATCTGCTTTAAAAAAATGTCAGATCCATTTAGTGGGGGGCTTCAGAACAGTCACTAGGAGAAGCAAAACAAAGTTTGGCTTGTGGGCCTCATGGTTCAAGGGAAATAAACCCAGGGGAGGCCATGATGTCTTGGCAATATCAAGACATCACATGGTTTTAACACAGAAGTAAATACTAAATTCCTGAGAAATCTACTATCAAAAGTAAAGTTTCTATTGCCTACAGTTTAGAGTGAGAGAATCTCTGGTTTGTTCTGAGATATTTTACCAAGCTTAGAGTCTTCCCTGAATTAGGTTTCAAGCTTACTTTTTCTAACCTGCACCCTGAAAAGAATAGGCAAATTTACCTAGCTAACCTTACTTTTGTGTTCCTACCCTATTCATCTTGCATATTTGTACTAGGTTCAGCTGTAATAAGGAGCCATACTCCCATAACTTCTGCTCTTGTAAGCTTTTCTAAAATGTCCCCCAAGACAGGAGCATGGTTGAAATTCAGTCTGTGAGATTATGATCTCAAATAAAATTCTCTCCCTACAGTTTCTTCAAGCTTTTCAAAGATATTTTGTATTTTTCACAGCCTTGGAAATTGTGAGCAAATGGACTTTTTAGGGTTTTTTTTACCACAGTCATAGATCTCTGAAACAAAAGAATGATAATTCATAAAATCCCAAGTCTTATCTTCAGCTTCTCATCATGAAAACTAATTAGTAAACTTTAATTGCTATTTAAAATAGACTCAGGAAGGCTACATATTTTTTAAAAGGGATAATAGGGAAATTTCAACAGGACAGCAGAAGGCTTATTGGCAGGCAGTAAGATTATTTCAAAGAGCAGATAGATTGGCTTCAACTTCTCCTCTGCAATTTAGGAAGTGGTGGCAGAGATCCCTTAGGATGGGCTTCCACTTTTATGCAAGACTTGCTTCCAAGCAGCCTTGCTCATTATTATGCTCCATGGATTACTGAAGTAACAAAATACATGTGAGTAGTTTAGTTACAGTCAAAGTTTGACAGCACGTAAACACACACAGAATACTATGACATATCTAAGATTTTCTCACCCTTGAAGACCTAGCACAAAAGGTTAGAAATGGCCTCAGACCCTTTTTAAAAGTAATTTTTATATTTTCTTAATTAAAAAGTGTATCTTTCTGTATCAAATTTGCTTAAGATTATTGATATGAAGTCCACGTATCTCTGTGAGAACACATCATGAAAGGATGTACTGTTCAATATCACACTGCCTAAGAAATAACCCAATCTATAACCCAAGAAGTAACCACCTTGTAGTGTAGATAATGAAACTTACTGACTGGTCAGGAAGTTAGCAAGGTACAAATGCTGTGAATACTGCATTACATTTTCTACTAAAATTTCAGAAATTTGTTGATGTCAGATGTCTTCTCTCCAGCACAGACTACCCTGACATTCAATATGCTATGAAATGCTGGTTTTCAAATCTCTAATGAATAGCATGAAATCATGACTCTAGGTATGTACAGGAAAAGAGCAATGCTTTAATAGATAAAAAAGTGGTCTCAGAACCAACTACAATATGTACAATCAGGATATAGGCACACTAGATCTCATAATGCAAAATTAATCAAATCCATAAATGCATGTACGCTACAATGCCACTTCAATATTTGAATTCCATTTTTAGAGGAACCTCAAGGCTTTAAAATTTTCTGATAAAGTACATTTTATTGTCAAGCACCCAGCTTTGTACAATTTGCAGTAAGAAAATAGGAGGAAAAGACTGCATTGCCTATCAGAATAGGTCAGCATTACAAAAAGTTAATGGAATTTGAAAGGAAGTACACTCAACCTGTAATGCACCATATGAATCAGGAAATTGAGAACTACTTTTCAAAAATAAATCTGCCATGTTAGGGTCAGCAATGTTACAATCTGCCCCTGAGGCAGGTTAACTGAGGTTCTTGTTAACAGATCCCTCAGGGCAGACTAGAGTGATGCAACACTGAATGAATGGTGGGGGTTTTATAAATAAAAAGATTAGATAGATAGACAGACAGACAGATAACAGGTTCATTTTGGAATAATTTGGTTAAAACGGAGAGGAAATATGTAACAGATTTGCTTATTATCTATAGAAATAGACTAATATAAAAGTAAAATGATTACACCTGAGAAAATATACAAGGAAAATAAAAAGAAAGAATAAGAACAGATAGCGAAGAGGAAAGGTATCACCACCTATGAAACCTGATTGTTGCAATTTAGATGTCCAGTGGTTGAAGTAACAGTTACAATTTCAACCCATTAAGGCCAAGGGAAATCCCTGAAACCCAAAGTCCAATGGTTCCACAGGTTCAGGTGGGAATGCCGAGGTATTTCTGCTCAGGGAGGAGTTTTACAATGTCTCTTACACCACTGTGGATCATTTGCAGTCCTCTGGCGGCAGGCCCAAGAAATAAGACTGCAGGCAGACACGACCCACCTCTGTCATGCCAGCTTAGTTGAGCCAGTTCTGCCTTAACAGAAGGGATAAACACCCTCAGACCTAAGTGTGAATGCTCCTGTACCTCTCAGGATGGGAGAGAATCTTCTGCCTGAGCCAGTTGTGTAAGGGAGGAAATTGGCATGATAAAAACCAGCAAACCAGCAACATTGCAGGATATGCTTCTTGGAGGTGTTTTCCTTTGTCTGTCTCAAACCCTAGCTTGCTGCTACATAAAGGTGGGTTTGTCATGGTCATCCTCTGGTGATGGGTGCTCATCCCCTCTGCACCTGGGCAGACCAAAAAGTTGCATAACCACATACCCAAAAACACTCTCCTTCCCCTGTGGTGGAGGGGTGCAAACAGCCAATTGATTGCATCACTAACTTTTAATATTAATCTCTCACAAAAAGCAAAGCAAAATCCAGTGTTTCATACTTATTCAAGCATGTACAGTAAGTTAATTCCTCACACTATATGTGCACTAATACAGCCTACTTTATGCAAGACACTCATTTTCAGGGAGGGAAAAAAGCTGTTGACTAATTACAAAGAATACATTACATTCAAATACATTTAGGCCTTAAAATGATAGTCAAAACAAACCACATCAAGTGTACATTATCACCCATATATAGAATAATCCCCGTGAGTGTGCAGTGGGTTTGTTTGTTTAGGTTTTTTTCTGGTTTTTTTGCTTGTTTTAAAGTAACAGACATTTAAAAAAATAATGCTTTACAAAAATACTGATAGAGGTTCACATTACTACAACCTCAATACTCTCCTCTTCTTTCAACATTTTCTATGATCTTAGCAGTATCCCCAGTAGGTTTTTTGAGTAACCACATGCTGCTCAGGCTCCTTTTGCATGAGATCCATTGACAATACACTGTGTCTCTGTTTGTTTGCTGATATATTTCAAACCATTTACATCCGAAAGCTTCTGGTTCTGTGAAACGGCTGAAAAGGCTTTTTTAAGGCCCACATCAGTATTGGTGGTTTCTGTTTAGTTTTTTCAGGAAATAGCATCGCTTCGGTTTCAGGGCTAGGAAATCGTACTCTGTACACTTCAGGGTAAGATTTCTGAAACTAGAAAAGTACATTAATTCAAATTAAGAATTTGTTCAAACACGTACAATAAGCTATTAAAGTGAAGCTTGCATTTCTGGAATGGGGAAATTATATCTCTAATGGACTTTCTACACTGCTATATAGAAAATTAGGCAGTATTTCTGATTTGTGTTGATTCATCACAGCATAGTTGTTCTAAAGTATTATAAATCTTGACATCCCCCTGTGTAGCCACTGTTTTCAATTTCAGTATTTCTCTAGAAGAATGCATGTCTAAGACTCGATAAATATTTTCAAATTGAAATTAGAAACTGTGGAGAAAAATTTATTTACTTGCTTGAGCTTCTTCTTTTTATCCTTCACAGATATTTCTTTATTCATTACAATTTCTTCCAACAAAGCTGCCAGTGGTTCTTGAGAGCCAGTTGCCCTTTGGTATTCAAATTCACCTGTAGTGATTTGGTGACAAAATGATGGAGGAGGAAGTGTTGCATCACTATCAGCCCCAGCATATTTTATCTGAAGATACAGTAAAAAAAAAAAAAAAAGCTAGGTTTTCTGCAAAACACTTGCATAGATTGGCTTAATCAATTGACCACTCCAAGACATTAAGTGGAGGAAATACTGAATAGAGACCTTGAACTGTAATTTTTATCTCCACCCTAATTGAGTGAGTTCCAGTAAGTCAAAAAACATGACAGAAAGGAAGCCTATTCAGCTTTTGAAATAAGTTTAAAATTACTTTTCTAGTAGGAAATAAACAAAAGAACTAAAAATCATCTTTGAACAAAAAGAAATTACGGTATCAGGAAACAGATGAAAAAACTGAGCAAGTAAGGATGGTTCTAAAGGGGGAAAAAAAAAAACAAGAATGAAACCACTTTATAATAATTCTGTTTTCTTCACTACCATAAACATAGTTTGCCCATTCCATGGGAAGACAGTGCTGACAAACAGGAAAACATATTTGAGACTTCTCATCTCTAAACAAATTCAATATTTGTTTAGTTTCATTTAAACACATAGTTGTGCTTGAATATCAGTAGTCAAAATTAATTAGATCTCAAAAGCTAACAGAGACAGAACAAAACCTTGTAAGAACTGTCGATCTTTGGAGAACAAAGGATAAGTTCAATCTAGAAACAGAGAGACAAAAGAGGCTTTTTCACTAGATACTTACTTGGACTCTCTGGAGATGTACAACATGATCCTCTATGGAAGACTTTAAAGCAGAAGGAACACTTAAGATCTCTTGATAATTATCCATGAGAAAAGATACTAGTTTAGCAGCAAGAAGTTCATCCAAGTCTATTTCATCCTTTGAGCAGAGAATACAACGGGAAAACGCCTGAACCATCTGAGGGAAAACACACACACCATTATAATATATTTTTCTGTTTGGGAGTGAGGAGTAGAGAATCAGGCTACATTTAAAAAGTGAACTTTTAGAACAAATATTTTAACATCACAATACTTACTGTACTTCAAACATATCAATATTTTTTTAAATGTATTATGTACAGTGACATTATGTGAGTGCACTGAAGATTGCTCCTGCTTCACACAGATAATCCACTCCTGACTTTAGATATAGAATGAATGAATTCCATTTTATTCTCAAGACTTTGTCAAATAGCCATTTCACATGGCTATTTAAATAGGTATATGTATTTAGAGATTGTTTTTAAAATAACACAGAAATTTAATAGAAATTAGGCACCAGAGGGAAAACCTGAAACCACTATTCTGAAATCATCAAATAAAATTTCAGGTCTAGTTAACTTCAGGTAGTCTTATGCTCAAGCACTCAGTTACAAGAGTTTCTGCTTGTGCACCAATCACTTAAAACATTAAAATCACAGAAGATTTCAATAAAGACTTTTGTGATGTACCATACATTACATTGCTGAATTAACACTCTGTACAAAACACTCAGACTACAAGAATTCACTTCTAAAATCAACATTTCAATTACAACAATAATTTTAATGAAAGACCACTTACAGTTAATTAAATTATAACCTTGGCAGTAAAAAATTTAATTATTTTAATCAAATGCTATTCAGAGTTCTCTAAAAACTTAATTGCTGTGGAGCACATTTAGATTTGTACATGCTGTTATAGCATTTTTAAAGAATAGCTCTGCAGCTTAGTTTTCCATTGCACTTAATTTTCAAAGACTTTTAAATTAAACAAAATAAATATATGTTGTTAGCTCACCAGAATAGTTAAGTTATGCCTAATGATTTTGTAATAAGGTGTTGTTGCACACATCAGTGTAGTGATATCACTACATAAGTTCTTACAGAAGAATTAGCAAAAATTGGATCTTACTTTAAGACACTTCTGTGTGTGGTGAAAAAAAACCAACTACTGAAATAAACAGTTGGGATTTTAGTTTTTTTGAATGGCTGAAAACAGGTCAATCAGAACATTCAGCTCCATATTTCTAGCTATGACTGAAACAGGCAGTCTTTTTCATTCACACTGTCTGAAGTGATAAAGAACACCAGAGACTTCATCTGCTTTTTTTTTTTTTGGTTGGTTTTGATTGTTTATTTTTGGGGGTTGCTTGTTTGTTTGTGCTTTTTTCCTACTCAATAGTGGATTCAGTGGTGATTTAACTGGGAAAGGTAAGGAAACCTCTAAATTCTGAGCAAATTCTTTGCATGCTCACAAATTGCCATGAAATCCCACTTTGTTCAAATCCAGATTAGCTTTCCAAATAGCTGGGACATACAAACCAGTTCCCCAAACAAGCAAATTGTATTTTGTTCATACTTTCTAGTAAGAATCTTTAACCTGTTCTCCAAAAGTCTGTCCAGACCTTTTACCTTACGCTTACACATACCAAAGTTCTGGTTCTCACTGATTCAGAAAGACGTGGCAAATCCTGGTTTAGACTAATTCTTGCCATCATTCTCACCAAAAGCTGTAATCTTTTCCTATTTTCTGGCGGCAGTAGGAGGCAAGATATCTGAAGAGCTTCTACAGCCTTGCTGGGTTTTTGCAGCAGACCTGGTTTATATGAGATCAGAAGGTTGGGGAACATTTCTCAGTTATATATTTCCATAACATTTAACATAACATTTCTAAATCTAACTCCCAAAATTCCCTTCTTACTCACTCAAGATTGCCTTAGAGCTCCACTCCCCAATGAGACTATAAAGATATCACTAGATTTGGACTACTAGGACTTAAGTTTTTAGAAGATTTTCTTCTGATGCACTGGAAGACATTGATAGCCATAATCAATAACTCTAAATATTAGAATACACTAAAAATTACAACTTTTTTTTTTCATCCTTTGCTCTTTTATTACCTCAGCACTAAACACAATTGAATGGTATGCACAGATATAGCAACCATGTTAGATAAATTGTTACGTCTATGACAACAATCACAGGGAAAGAAAATGTGCTTATACATGTGCCTCACACCTATAGATATTAAATTTGTGCCTAATTCTGCTTATTCCTCCTCAGGAGAGTAATTTACATTTCTCCTTTTCTAATTCCTGTTTACCCATTTCTGCAGCCAGTCGAGGTTACTCTGCATGGTACACTACAACACTGCTGCATAAGCTACTCTTCCCCATTTTAATTTGCACGCTTGTTTAGGGCACTGTGCCCAAGTTTAGGACAGAATGTGCCACCTCCCTGGTCATTAACAAAGTGATAATCATTACTGGCCACACTACCAGCCCTGGCATGCTTCCCACTGACTGACATCCAGCCAGACTTTGTGCCACAGATCACAACCCTCTGAGCCCAGCAACTGAACCGATTTCTGAGTTTACCTCACTACCCACCTATCCAGCCTGTACTTCCTAGAAGGATGAAATGGAACACAAGTGTTGAAAGCCTTACTGCTCTCAACATAAACAGCATCCACTGCTATCTCCTCATCCACCATTCTGGTAAACTTCATGATGTAAAACATGGAAACTGTTTCTTATTGGAAAAGAAGTGTGGACTAGGTAAGACATTTCAAGGAGAGGGGTAAAATACTGAAGCTAATTTTCATAGTAAAGCTTTTTCTAACTTCAAAGGAAGATTTGGCATGCATATTGATGCATATGCTTAGAAGAGTAAGGAATGATTCCATATCAACACTTCACTTTTTTTTAAAGAGATCACAAAATTAATGTTTGACTTCTTGAAACATAGCACAATTTTCACTGCTTCCACATACATACTGGCATGAATTCTTTCTTCTACTTTTACATTTACAAAATGGTGTGAAATGATAGTAGTAAAACCTGAAAGATGTGAAAAAAATGGAAAAGCAAACAGAAACAGAATATGAAAGCAGAAGAATGTTTTAAAGATATAAACAAGAGCTGATTAAAAAAAAAAAGTCAGAAAATTGATTTGTATTCCATATGAAGCAAGATTGACAATTCACAAAGCATATATACTAAATTCCAGAAACAGAAGTGTCATTCTAGATTCCTTTCTCATCTCAATAGTTTACTAAAAACACTGTTGTTCACACAGAAAGAAGCTCAAAAAACTAACATGCTACAAAGCGGGTTTACTTTTCAACTCAATTGTTCTTTCTGAAATTTGATTACATAAAATATAATCAAATATTTACTGTCGTACTATTTACTGTCTTTCAGTAAGCCATCTGTAGGATCAGAATTGTCAATTTTAATATAGTGTGAACTCTGGAAAGTTCTATTTAATAACTAAAACATTGCTTCTTTAAAACACTACATTACTTAATGACATTTCTAAATTAAAGCAACATAGTATTTCAATTACCTTTAAATATCATATTTCCAGGGTTAAAAACTGTGCTTAAAGCCCTAATCCTTTCTAATCTAGACTTCAGTCAAGCAATTTCTAAAAGCTTATGAGAGTTTTTAAGACATTTAAGCACTTGTAAAAAAAGAAAAATCTATTAAAATCCATCTGTTGCATGCTCTGCAATGAACAGAGGCCTTTAATAATATAAAGACAAGCAATGGAAGACTTGAACTAATGTGATTAAAAAGACACAAAAATAAAACCACTGTGTAATATGAAATAAATTTAAATATTGAACTGTTCTCTATGTAGAATGGAAAGGACAGGCCCTAAATAATTAATCTGTGATATTATTTAAGGTAAAATAACTCCAGAAAATTAACTCTAAAGAATATTTTTTTCATTAGATTCCAAACTACTTACCTAACACACTAACAAAAACATCAAAAAAATTAAATGTGAGAAGAGGTTCTTTCATCTGGCTAAAGTAGTCCACTATCGTTTTGAAGACATCTCTTTCAAAGCCTGAGTACGTAGGCTGCTTCAGATCTGAACAGCTGGGCCCTACAAAGAACAAAAAAAAAAACAAAACAAAAAGGAGCAAAAAAGAGAGAGAATATTGATTTTCAGCCACTGAGCAGATCAGTGTTTTCTAATCCAGCCCATTAAAATGGATCATTAGAGGAAAAAAAAAATCAAAAAAAAGATTAATTCTTCAAAATAAGTGAAACTTTATTGATCTACTACTTACTGATCTATTCCCAAAAGGTCTAGTGAAGATACAAAGTAGAGGAAAAACATTAATAGACTAGCTAAACCTTTATATAATTAATTTAAATAAGCTACACTGGAAGGAGAATACATGCTGACAAGTCTTTTCCAACTTTCTTTTAAAAAATCATTGTATACAGGATTTAATAGAGTGGTATAGACACAGTCAGTTCAATTTATTTTTTGGGGGGTGGGTTGTTTGTGGGATCTTTCTCCCCTTCTGAATTTACTTACAATTTACTAGACATTTCATTGCAGATAATATCCAATGAGGTAGTTCCTCTGCAAAGGGAAGAAACAGAAATTAAAATGACAAAAAAGAAAAAACAAGAAAAATATTCAACTGTTAGACAAAAGCAAAGCTGAAAACAATTTAACATTCCTCCTGTGTGGTAAATCAAGTGACTCCAAAGGCAGGCTATACATTAATGTAGGATCTAGCCTGAATTACATCTATACTTCAGTACCTGCACTACTATCATACAGTTATGCATTCTGCCCTTGCAGCTCAATCAGCAAAACAGGTCATATCACAAATCTTTTACCTACTCTAAAAAAAAAAAAAAAGTCAGACTAAACCAGTTCTAGATACAGCTTTCCCTGGTGCTATACGATGAAGTGTTTACTTTGTACCCAAGATGATGAAAAGCACTCATATATTCAGTTTTGCCAGTTCTGCTAGGAGAAAGTTGATATTTTGAGATGGTCCAACTGCCTTTGAAATGAGCACAGATATGCTCTGAAGGCAGTTTTATTCACAACCAAACCAGGTTTTAATGTCATATTTAAATTTCTCTACAAATCTCATTAAAATCTCGGTGGCAATAATACTGTGATAGATCAGAGCAGTAAAGATGCTTTATTTTTTCTCTGATGTGCAAACCAGTTTTAAACATGGCACTATCTTCAAAACTCAAAACTCTCTCAATGCACATCTTCGCTCTCTCACAATTTTTAATACCGAAAACTCTCCCAATGTACATTTTGGATCTGTCAATGTACTTTTAATACATTTTTTCTTCATGTAAACACTCCAGTTCGGGTAATTAAAAGGATAGGGCCAAGAAAGTTACCTTGAAGTGATTAATATCTCTGTATTTATAAATGGTAAAAAGTTGCTGCTGTCTTGCATTCATTTTTCAACCCTACTAAAGCCAGAATCTGTTTAAGAGAGTAAATATGGAATAAATGCTGACTCTTACTATTGGGATACCAGAGGAGAACAATAGCATTTTAAAAACAATAGCATTATAAAAACTAGAGTTTTTACAAAGTAGATTGCAATATTTAAAAAAAAAAGAAAATTTCTAAAATACTCACTTGATTTGTCCTCTAAAGTGACAATGCCTTGCTTATTGACATTATATACATTTTGAACTATATGTTTTGAATTCACAAGTTTTGTGTCTAACACTTCATCCAGAGAATCCAAACCCAACACCTTTTGTAATCTGCAAAAATACATAAACATAGGTCATACACCGTCTAATCTGGAAAAGGCAAACACGAAGTATTAGGATACAATTCAGAAAAAAAAGAGACTTTCATTTCATAGAGAATATCTCCAGTTGGATGACAGCCATAAGGACCATTCAGCGCAATTCCTGCTTCTCACAAAACTGCCTAGATTTATAGAATGCCCTAAACTGGAAGGGATCCACAAAGGTCAACTCCTGGCTCTTCACAGCACAACCACAAAAATTATGCTACATGCCTGAGAGCACTGTCCAAACACCTGTTGAACTCTGTCAGGCTTAGGTGCTGTGACCACTTGCCTGGGGAGCTTGTTCCAGTGCCCAACCACTCCCTGGATGAGGACTCTTTTCCTAATATCCAACCTAAACCTCCCGTGACAGCCTCAAGCCATTCCCTCAGTCCTGTCACCGGCCACCACAGAGAAGAGATCAGTGTATTCTCCTCCACTTCCCATCACAGATTGCACTGCAATGTCCTCTCAGCATCCTCTTCTCCAAGTTAAGAAGCCAGAACATCTCAACCACTCCTCATGTCTTCCCTTCTAGACCCTTCACAATCTTCATAGCCCTAAAAAAGTTTTGTTTTATACCTAGAAAAGGTCTAGTAATTTTAATACCTAAAACTATACCATGTAACTGAAAGCACAGCTAACATGCTCCTTGAACTCTGTAGGGCTTGGTGCTGTGCCCACTTCTTCAGGGAGGCAGTTCCAGTGCCCAGTTACTCTCTGAGTGAAGAACCTTTTCCTAATGTGGAGTCTGAACCTCCCCAGCTGCTTGATTCCATCTCCTTGTCCTATCACTGATCACCAGAGATCTTCCACATCTCCCCCCACTCCCCTCTCCAGAAACTGTAGGCTGCACTGAGGGCACCCCTCAGCTTTCTCAAAGCTTTTGGTGACTGTACAGCTCTTTACTCTATCCAGATCTCACTGCAGGCCCTGTCCACCCTTGAAGGAGTCCAAAGTTCCTTCTAACCTAGTATCATGGACAAACTTAAGGTACATTCAATTCCCCCATCCATATAATTTACGAAAACATGAAAGAGCTCTGGCCCTAGAATGCAGCCCTGCAGAGCCCCACTGATGACTGCCCACAAGAGATAACCACATTTACCACAATCCTTTGTGCTTGACCCAAGAGCCAGCTGCTCACCCAACAATATTATGGGGCTCATCAAGCTGCATGCTGGACAGTTTATCTAGAAGGATACTGTGAGAGACAATATCAAAAGCTTTGCTTAAATGCAAATAAACCACATCAACTGGTTTCCCTTGGTCAACTAGATGGGTGACCTTGTCATAAAAGAAAATTTAATTGGTTACATAGTATTTTCCCTTTTTGAAACTGTGCAGGCTATGACCAATGACTGCGTGTCTCTCAAATATTTTATTATTAACTCCCAGAATAATTTTCCATAATTTTACAGGCACTGAAGTGATACTGACAGGCCTGTAATTAGCAAGGTCTTTGTTCTTTGCTTTCTTAAAGTTGAGAAAATAGTTGCCAGCTTCCAGACAACAGAGGCCTCTCTAGAATTCCAAGATAAATGAAAAAATAAGGAGAAAGATCCTGCAATAACATCATCCAGCTCTTTCAATACCCTGGGATTAATCCCATTGGGCTTCATAGCTTTAAGCACATCCAGCTTGAGCAGAAAATTTCAAACAAATTCAGTGTCAGTTGTGAGTCTCCCTATTCCCACAGTCATACTTTTCCAGCACAGAACTGTGGGAATTCCAGTGTCAATCATCAAACTTAAAGAGTCCAGAACTTTCTGTCACGTGAATGCTACTGCTCACTGATCAAGCTGTCAGGGTTTCAGCATCCTTCCACACAATCTGCTGTGCCAACCCTGTTTGCCCAATATGGTCTTTTGGTTGGCAGTGCTCTATAGGGAGCTTTATGTGAAGGAGGGCTTGGCCCCCACTGCCCCTGGTCTCACTTGTCCAGGTCCTATCAGCTGCTCCCATGTGAGTTCTAGTCTACCAGGGTGTCTCTCCATTCCCCTGAAGCTTCCTTAGTTCAGGAAACCCAGAATACACATGCCGTCTGCTGCCCATCATGCTGTCACCAAAACTGCTCACCTCAGCACTAAGCGCATTATGTGCAGATAATGTGTTAGGTTTATGCTAAAGTCATCCTTAGTAAGACCTCAACCATGCTGTAATATCATTAGTGTATATTATTTCTTCCTCTGCAGAAATAGTCCAAAGCAATAGTTTTAACTTTGCATAGAAGATTCCATTTGAATGTAGTAAATGAATTTCTAAGCTGAATCTCAAAGCTTCAGCACTCAATTAGCTATGCCATTTATCTCATACAAAGTATTGTACTTGCCATTGAAAGGTTCCATAGCACTTCTACATAAGTGCTTTTATTTCCTAGCAACAAGAAAAAGAGACAGAGAAAAAAAGTGATTAAACAAGACAAAGCCCACACAACAAAGAATTGTATAACACAATGTGCAGAAGTCAAAAGGTACTAAGCACAGTGAAGTTTTTTCCAGACTTTATTTGCTGAGTTTGCTAGCCAAATAACAAGTGGTAGAGTTAGTCTAGACACTATGGCTTTGAAGGCAACGAGAAAAAGTGAGTGGGTGAAATTACAAGTATTACCAGAGAAGATAGACAAGACTATTACCTACTACACAGTTTTACTATAAGAGCAAATGACTCATAAGTATACTCACCGTGATAAAGTCATGGATTTCCATATCTCTTCTATATTTGTTTGTGTTAGTTCTCTGCGGAACACAAGTTTGCATGCTGGTACTTCCCCGATAGCTATGCTGTGTCGCTTGTACCACATCTCAGAGTTCTGAAATCAGAAAAAACCCTCCTCATTAACTGGTGGCTTTTCAAGTGTTAAACAGTATAAAGCATTTATAGTACAAAATTGCAAGCGTTCTTAAATTCCAGTGAAGTCTTCTGGATGCAAGGTAAGTATTTGTGTCTAAGAGAAATTAAATACTTGCTCAATCTTACACATCGCTTCTCAATTCCATAACTTGTTCCAAAGCTGAAAAATTATATGTGTCAGAATAACCATTAGAGTTCAGGAGTCAATGGCCTTTAATCCTATGTTCAGGTCCTATTTATGATTAAAATCAGTTCATCTGCCATTTTAAGATTAAACATCTCTTTATGGAAAAGTTACTGGAGAATTATGATACCAACGAATTAGAAAAAAAAATTCTTGCTCAGCATATACTAAAATAACTAAACATTAAGTTTAATAACAGGTTCTATACATGAAGAAAGTAAAAGCAAATCACTACATCTGAAGGCACTCGTCAGGTCTAGTCCACCATTACAAAAGTGTAAAGTAAAGCTGAGAATGCAGAAGACCACTATACTTTATGCAACCTTCATATCCAAGTTTATTCTTGAACATTGTCATCAAGGTATCAATGGGTGGACATACACTGCAGCTTGTATCAGCAGCATTCTTTTCAAGGGAAAACTCCTAATCATTCCAGCTCTTTGATTTACACTACAGACCAGCGCTAAAGCACATTAAAAGTTTTCCTTATAACCAGACCGCAAAATGCATTCCAGGAATGCACTTAAATACTCCAACCACTAATTGTCTCTCATTCCATGGCAGACTAGACTAGAGCTAGTTGGAAGCAAATAGTACCCTCTGAAATTAAGGGTCTGGTCTTTCACATCAGTATTTCATGACACACAACCATGCTCATCAATCTACACACAGCCACTAAGTGCTCAGATTGATGCTGAAGCAATTCAAGGTACCATAATTTTCAGCTGTCTACTTCAGCATTGCATTGGAAGCTAGACCTAATTATAAAAGAGGCAGCAGAAAGAAGCTTGTAGCTTTGCCTCACTTACAGTCCACTGTATTAATCCAAACTGGCAATGGAAGAGATTTTGAGCTATGCCAAACTCTATGCTGTTGCATCCAAGTCAGATGCAGACTTTTGCTAATGCTTATCAGGCCAGGATGCTTGGATGGAAATTCAGGGCACAGCTGGAGGCTGTAATATGTTACATCTTCAACAGATACTTGCTCAGTAACTAAAATACTCCACCTTCTCATTCTCATTTCCTGTCTTTGGCACCATCTTTTCTTCTCCTTTTGGCACCATCTTTTCTTCTATCTACTATTGAAGCACTAAGGACCATGCCTTTCCTCCTCAGAAGCTTGCTGTACATGAAGACTACACTTGATTTGTACACAGTTGGACTGTAAGTATGGAATAACCATTCATTCAGAACATTTAGATATCCAGCAAAATGCTAGGAGCTACTTCTCCAAATAGACTATGGTTTATCAAAAAATCTAAGGCTAGACTCCTGCTCTGCAGGGCAGTAATAGAAAGGCAAAAATCATCAACGAAATCCTTAGTTCACAAATTATGAGAACGCACACATATAAGATACACTGAAGGAAGACCTCAGAATATACACAACTCCAGAAGCCTATTCTTTTACTATGTCAAGGTGAACAGAGTTGATACAGTTTTGGTTTACTAATAAAACCAAGTTTTTCCAACAATTTTATAAAGGCTGGATCAATCCACATAAGTATGAGGCCAGATGACTTCCTGAGCTTACAATGGATAACTGAAAAATCAGGACCACTTCTCCTTAGCCAAAACATATTCCTTATAAAAAAGGAAATTGAGTCAGTACCAGTACTTACAGCAGCTAGGAAGGTTGTAATAACTGTATATATTCTGATATCTGAAGTGTCCAAATAAGAGTTACAGTGTGACTATTTTGTCTGGTAATATAATAAATGCCCTATTGGAATTTCAGCAAACTGGAATGAAATATGGGAAAATACACCCATATGGAACTCAGGTTCCTCAGGGCATTTTAATGTGTAGCACAAACACTAAAATATTACTTCTCCGGCAAATTTTAAGAACAACTTAACTTCACAAAAGTTTAGAATGAAAATATTTAGCATTTAACAAGCAAGTATTTTGTGACACAGCACAGAAGTCATCAGCTCAGTTTTGCTTTCCAAATATGCTTTTGTCTGCGGAAATAAAACTGGGTGCCTTACCATTGCGACGGATTTCACTGGGATGGGTTCTTGAGAAGGGCCAGCCCTTGGTTCATTCCAGTCTGGAAATTTAATTACTTCCTTTCCACATGAAGGTTTCTTTGGGTATGACTTCAGTGGCGAGGAAGGAGGAAATCTACAATTAGAGAACATTTTTAAAGTCTCTGAATGCCAATCTAATCCCTATTTACCAATGCAAAACTGTAGTCAGCCTTCACATGCAAAAATGCAACAAATGCTTTGGACATTCACAGCCCAACTTAGTTCACTGTAGACTGGTGTTGTATGACATGTAAAACATTGTGGAGTGTCTTGTTTGCCCTCCAGCTGCTGCTCCACAACAGTTCAGGTGCTTTGTACCTCGCACAACATAGCTGAGCCTTGGGTGAATCTCTGCTCCCCAGTGCGTCTCTTATAGCACTAGCAGTCTTTGCATAGACAATGACATAGATCTTCACTAAGAGATGTTGATTCTGCTGAAAAAGCCGTGGGGATGTTTTCCCCCATGTCAAGTGCTTTGTTAGCATGCATTTCCTAAAGCAAAGCTACATAGCTAAGTCACATGACTAACACTCAGACTTAGTTAGAGTGCATGCAAGTGTCCACACAAAGTTTTGCCCACATTACCAGGTTCTTCTGCATTTACATGCTTTCTGTGCGAAGATCAAATCCTGCAGTTCTTTTCTGGATCATATCCTGCAGTTCTTTTTTCCAGCTGGTTTTGCAGGTAACTATTTGACTTCTTAAGGCATTTCAAGAAGTGCCTTGAAGAAATTAGCAGAAATAAGCCCTAAACCAGCGCTTGAAGAAAAGAAGGAAAACAAACTATCCAGGCTGACCTGCACCAAATTATTGCTAAGCTCAGGTCAGAGCATGTACAAAGGAACTAATGACAGCATATCAGAAAGACAAATCAGTTCAACGGAAACACCTCTTCAGACTGGCCCAGATCCAATCCTGTCGACTTGCACACCCAGGTTTTAGGTGCTGAGATTGCTGATGCTTTAAGCAACTGCTTAAGCCTCATTGACTTTTTTAAAGCAGAATGTAAAAGACAGATACGTCAGTGACTTTGCAACAAAAACTTGCACACTGCTTGAAAGCATACATATGTATCCTCCCAGAAAAAATGCTTGAGAAACTCTCAAGTTTCTCCAAAATGTCACCTCATCCTCTAAAGGCACTTGAAACATTTAATAAGTTTTTCATTAAGATTTGTTCTGCAGTTTGGTTAGTCCAGTACTGTTACACTGAATGGTTAAACACATTGATTGTTTTGACCACACACACTGAGCATATTCCACAGTGCCCTTCAACAGCACATCTGCAACACAGAGATATCACCCCCGTCAGACAAACCCCCAGAACAAGAAGCAAGTACCTGACTCTCATCCTGCAAGATTTACTCTGTTTTTTAATGGTAAGCCAGACTACATGGCAGATGTTCAGCTTTTGAGTGTTCTCAACCATTTTTCAGATATTCGTTATTTCTTAAGAGTTTAATGCTAAAATAGAACATACCCACATATCTGCAAGTCTTTTTCCTTTGCCTTACACTATTCTCAGTAGTTTCCTGTTTCTTCTCCAGTTCTTCACAATTTTTAGCTTTGTGTCATTTGCTGCCCTGATTTGCAACCAATCAGTAAAAGAAGTTGTTCTTACAGTCAGAAAAAGGAGGTGCATTTCCCTTTCTCAGGTGGCATTACAGCAAGATCTAGATGAAGAAGGATTAATGTCACTCAAAGCAAAGGATCGAGAAATACTCCAAGGCTGACACACCAAGATCAGAATTGGTTATAGCCAGCAACACTAGTTTGGGGAGTTTATAAAAAGAGGAACTAGAGACATCTGTTTGTGTCCAGAACAAAGGATCCTGAACAAAGTCAACTAGCAGTGATGTCCAAGATTTAACAATATTACTGCAGAATTCCCGAAAGGTTGCTATCATTGCAACAGTGCTAACCCCTTTGCTTTCAATAGACTGGCTTAGATTAAAAAAAAAAGTGTAAAGCCCAACAGCTCCCAAAACTGTAACTTCTCATTCATTATTGTAGACTCAGCTGAGCCAGTAAGTCAGGACACACTGATAAGTCTTTGCTATTTTTAGAAGTCACATTAGATCTCATCTTCATGTTTAATACTTGCCAAATATTCTCACACAATCCAGCTTTTGGCAATATTTCTTTTGCATACTCTGTGGATGAACAAGAGCAGACAGCTACACTTACATGTGAAGTAAATGAGTGACACAACTGTGTACCACAGTGCGCCATTACAGCATGTTAACACATAAATTTATACAGAAGGTACGAAGCATGTAACTTTTCCAAAGTTAGCACCGTCAGTAGAATTGACTCGTACAACTACCTCCATCAGCACTGTGAGGAGAAAACACCCTGTATTTTGCATGTAGCATTAGGATAGCCCACCAGAGGGAGCTGCCAGGACATTGAATACAGCACTAAAAGCTGGCTCCAGTTCAAGATGCATGAAAGGTATAAATTTTTAACTGAAAAAAGTTCAGTTAGTTATTTTTTCAGTGGGAGAGGGAGAAAGAACATCACAACAAAATATATAACAAGAGTTCTGTTGCCCAATAGCAGATCAGTTGGCAGAGCATGCAGAAAATTAGAACAGAAATATTTCACCCAGCCAACTTCCACAGCCTGCAGCTCAGTAAAGTCATGACTGAAAATACAAATAAATAAGAGAACAAAATAATTTGAACATATACTCATGCTAATGCAAAATAAACAAAAACCCCACAGCCACACAAACACAGCAAAACCAAACCAAAGAAATATAGAATAACACCAGCAGTTATCAAATCCCATAATAAATCTTTTGACAAGAATTAATACCAGACAGAAAAAGATCAATAGAGCAAAATGAAAAATTGACATAATATATATCAAGTGGAAATTCAGTTCTATATATTTCCCCAAAGAGAATATTAAGAAATCATTACTTAAAATGAATATGTAAAATTTGAGTATGTAATAATAGCTATAATAAGTAGAAGCATAAACTTATTGCTAGCCTATTTTCCCTAATGTTTTGCATGATGAGAACTCCCATTTCCTCAAAAGAAGGGCCACCATGATAAAAGTTACAAATCTAGACTTGAAGTAATGGTGATCTTTATAATACTTCGGCACCAAACAGGACACTAGAAGATGGTACAAATTCAAACCCTGCAACTTCTGTCCACTCAAACCTTAACTGAGGTCACAAGAGGCCAAAGAATCCAGTCCATTAATGCTAAGCTTTTATTACACTGAAATTTCTTCTCCTCTGTTAACAAGCCACGAGCTGAGATGCTCAACAGGGATAAGTAAGGAACCAACCTTGAGGATAAGCAAATAAAGCTTTGTCCCTTGTCCATCTACAAACTAAGGAGCACAAAAAATGTTATAAATTTCTTAGATTCAGAAGGCCTTTCTCTTTTCTCAGAAGAAGGTGGAGATAGCAACCAAAATAGTCAGGGGATTGGGGTGAAGGAGGACAATTGGAGCTGGGTGACCAATGGCATTCTCACTTCCACCTATGTGTCCTAATATGTACTTTTCCAGCACCAACAAACCTGATGTCTGCCATCAGCAATGAGAACTCAATACCATGTGAAAGCTGCAAAAGCTTTTGTTGATATTCAAAGAATGCAACTGAATAGACGTGACCTTCAAAAACATTTCAGAATAGACAAGAAAACTGAAGACAAACATGAAGCCACGACAGCTACCCATTACTAAGAAAATAAAAGTCTTTAAAAGGAAAAGGGGAAAACGTGTCAACACTTTTCAGAGGCATTCTACAAAAATGCTTGTAAGACACGAGCAAGAGTTATTATACCCTGTTTCCAAAAAAACAGGGGTTTTTTTATCACCCTATAGAGGCTTACCTATATAAACGGCCATCGTCTTCAAAGTCCTCTTTGCCCCATCTTCCTTTAATATCTTCGATTACATGATTTTTCAGGAATTTTTTAAGCAGCTTAACCGTTTGATCGCGAGTCACTTCTGGGCCAAAATTTTGGTTAGAGCCAAGCAGCTCATGCAAACATTCCACTGCTTCCGAGGCTTTGAAGCATCGCTCGTAGCTCTTGAAACGACAGCGATGCTTCCGTAAGGGCATCCCAGCACGGAAGAGCTCGATTATCTCGTTCCACTGGGAAAGAACAAAGCCAGTCGTTACGGGAGCTCTCCCCCCAGGTTTTTCTATGGCCAGAACGCAGCCGGCTCTGTAAGCAGAGCTACACCCTTTTGCCACCGTCTGCGTTCACAACAACACCGAAACCTAAGCCCAGGATTTAAACTGGGGCGACCCGAGAACAAACATCAGGTTTAGGAAGCTGAAATATTTAGCCCCATACTACCAGAGGACCTACGGATACAGCTCTAGCCTCCCTTAGGTTTTACCGGGACAAAAGGCTCAACCTGCCGCTCCGCCCTGCCGGCCTCTGCCCCGCGCCAGCCGCGGGCGCCTCCGCCCAGTAGAGAGGCGGCCTGGGAGCAGCGGCCGGCACCAGGAGGCCGGAAGGCGAGTGGCCGCGGGGGACAGCGGCGCGGGAGGGCGGCGGTGTCGGGGAGGGCGGCGGTGTCGGGGACGGCGGTGGGGGCACTCACCAGGCGGGTGGCGCGGTACGGCCCGGGCCCCACCAGCCGCGGCTCCATGGGCGCGGCCGCGCCAGCTCCGCGCCGCGTTTGAATCCAGCCGGGCGCCGCCGCCTTCGCCCATTGGGCGGCGGGCGCGGCACGTGACGGGCACGCGCCGTGCTGGATTGGCGGGGCGGGGGCGGGGTGGGAACCGAGCGCGAGGGGGCGCTGTGGGGCCCCGTCCCGGGCGGCGGGGGCGGCCCCGTGCGGGGGCCTCAGCGGGCGGGCGTGCCGCGGGGCCGCGCCGTGCCGGGCTCTGCGCAGGACAAGAGACAACGGGCAGAAAATTGATGCCCTGCAAGTTCCCCATGAACATGAGAAGGAGTTTCTTTGCTGTGCGGGTTCTGTGCACTGGAACAGATGTCCCAGAGACGTTCTGGAGCCTCCCTCGCGTAGAGATGCCAGGAGCATCTGGACTCAATCCTGTGCCAGTCCTGTACTCTAGGATGGCCCTGCTGGCGTAGATAGGCTGGACCAGGTAGCCTGCTGTAGTCCCCTCCAACCTGGCCCATTTGGTGATTCTGTGTGTGGCAACAAGGTAAACCATGTCAGGAAAACATTGGCCAGTGAATTGCTGCCCTCATAAAGAGAACACAGCCTTGGCATTAATTAAACAAACAGAACGAAAAAAAATCAACCTAAAAAACCCCCTCCAAACGCTCAATTTTCAATATTTTAAAATTGTTTCCAATCAGTTTTTTTGTTAAAGAATTTTGTTTTGAATTCAGGCAGTATGTGGGATGATAATTACTTGCAATTACATTTGATATTCCTACAGATGACAGGGGTTGATGCTGGTGCCACAGAACTCGTTCAGTTGTTGTATATTAGCTCTTTATGAGTATTTTTTAAAAAGGGTTACTTGGAAAGTAAATAGGAAACCTCCATTTTAAGGTAGGAGGTTGTGATACCAAGTCACCTGTCCTGCATGGGCAGGGATGTTACTGAAGCTCCTGTGGTGCCTATTACAGATGAGCTATCTCTGTCAATTTTTAGGACTCTCACAGGAGAGAAGTGACTCTAGTCACTAGAAGTGACACCAGTGTTGCTTTTCCATCAGGTCTAAGGAAAACAAAATTATCGCCTTATTCCCCTCACTGTCAGTAAACATTCACCATAACATGGATGACTTAGCTGACTGTTGGACTCCTCTTTCCAGCCTCATTCAAAAGTATACACTTAAGGATATGAGATGCACAGTTTTTAGATTCAGATAAAGACTGTGTGATTCTCATGTTGTGTGTAGGAGGACAGGATTTGTTTTGAGCTGATGTCATTGGCATCCTCTTAGGCTGCATCCATACAACTCACTGTGAAACACTGCATTCTCTCTCTCCAAGTGCTTTATAACTCCCAGAAGACTAAACCACTGTGCAAGATATTATGCAGTGGCAATCTGACACGCCACTTGCTGACAGCCCGCAGAATGATTAGCATCTCCAGTTTCTGCTCCTGCTTATTAGTTCTTAATCTCAAACAACTGAATCTGGGAGCCTTTGGCTAGTGTACAACTGCTGGAATTGGAAGTTTTCCTGGCCTCTTTCTGCTCAGCACCTGTCCACATGCAGCACTCCTTAGTTTTCACTGTGCATAGTCTCAGCTCCTATTTAAGCCCAAGTGAGTTTGAAAAATCAGTTGCAGATCTAGCTCCCAGACCAACAAACAAGTACCTGTCCCTGCACAGCCAGCTGCAGGATGCATTTCTCCATCCAGATTTATGGGCAGGGAAGGAGGTATGATTGCAAAATCAGAGACCATAACTAGGACTTTCCCTACCAGCACAGAAATCATCTACAAGACTACAGAGTAACGCCTGCTTCCTTGCACAAGAAGCAGAGGGTACTATTATCCAGTCTTCACCACAGTTTAGCTATTACAGCCTTTCCCTCATAAGGCCTGTATTTCTCAAGCACATTTGAATGCACAGGCTCTAGAAGGCCTAAAAGAACCAAATTGTCCCATTTCCTTCAACAGTAATGCCCCACTTCCTTCATTATTAATTATGGAATAAATATTTTTTATATATATGCATTAAAAAAAAAAAAAACCACAAACCAAAAAACCATATAAAACTTGCAAATCCTTTCCAGCTATTTGATAAAACAGCAATAGGCCTCTGTCCTTAAGAAAAGCCCCCCTAACACTGGAGGCCAGGGACATACATACGGCCCAGAGCTGTCTGACTTGAGACTTTGAATCAGGGATGGACTGCATTTCCCACCAAAGAGAGGTGCAAAGAGAGGCACATCACAGCTGTTTGGGATCATGTGATAGAGCACCTCTCCACATGAACTGCTGGGAACTGAATGCCGATGATTCGAACATCAAGCATCCAAAATTCAGGGGCTGCAATTTAAACCTCAAGTCATCCCAATACTTTGAGATGTACTTTCAAGCTGCCATGAGAGATGACAGCTACAGAGATTAAATAGTGAATAGATAAAACAGAAATTATTTTTTATTTGCTCAAAAAAACTTGATGTAATCTCAAAAGAAAATATTTGCAACTCATGTCCAACCTAAAGTTTACATTCCTTTAGAGTTTACAATGCACCGTAAATCTCAGTAAAATGAAAGCGTTCAGGTAACAAAGCTTATGTTCTTGGAATTGTGCAACAGAGAGGCTATTAAAATCTACCTCAAAGTCTTGAGTATTTGAAAATTCCACAGATCAGATCAAGTAAAAAGCAAATATTGCAAGTTACTTTTTTTCCTAGTGTTGTAGAAAACAGTACCTTTAATGGTAACATTAAACTAAACACATTTAATTTCTCATTTCCAGGTCTGTTGCATGCACAAATTCCTTAATAAACTCATGCAGTACAAATGCAACTTGCAAATAGCAAGTCCTTTTGATTTCTACACAAATGTGACCCTAACAATCTTCCTAACCTTGGAAAACAACATACTGGGTAATTCTACACAGAATGAAGCCATGCCCAGTCACCACTCCCTGCCCCACTTTCAGAAGCTCAGAGAATGTCACTTTTTTTTTTTTTGCCTGGTTCCAGACAAGGTAACTGGAGTAACTAACTTTCAGCTGATAAAAACAAGACACAATAATAAAAAAAACAAGATGACACAAACTCTTTCTAGACATGTATTTCAATAGATAATGGAAATGGAAGAAAGTAGAGCACAGTACAATCATGGTAGGCAACATTTCAGCTTAAATCATTAAATCAACTTTTTTTTACATTTTATTTGACCACTAAGATTTTGGCTATTGAATTAAAAGATTCCATTATCCACCTAGCTTCACAAGCAGCACAGGCTAGCAATTTAAAGTATATCCATAGACACACTGAATAATAAGAATATTTGGCTACTACAGTGAACAAATCAGTAAGATGTTTTGATCACTATGCTACAAGACAATTCAGATAATCCCCATATTAGTAGCTTTCCAACATTTATGATAATGTTCAACTGAGTAGAACATGAAATGAATTCAGTTCTCCTAGTAAAAGACAGTATATCCAAAAATCTGCGATCTTCAAATGAAACGCTATGTTTTAACAGATTAACATACAATCCTTCCTTTAAAGTAATACAGCTTATAAACAGATGTAACAATGTTTATGTATTAACTATATTAATATGCCTTAGATTCTATCAACAGTACTTACTGAAGAATCATTCTTATAATAAAATGCAGCTGACAGTCTTACCAACTTACAACATTAAAAGTGAAGTATTTTTTATCCCCCTCAAAGTGTGTTCAAAGTACTCAGTACTTGTCATACACATTTTAGTTTTTCCAATTATCTTTTTGTGCATTTTCTAGATAGACATATCTTTATTTTTTAATCAGAGATCCGCAGCTCTTCCCCACTCCCATGTTCTGAATCCCAAATAACTTACGGTAAAAATACAAATTCTGTTTTGGAAGAAAACATACAAAATATACACCATGTAGTGTGTGCACCTAAACATCTTGATTGTCAAGTAGTACAAGTTTCCCCATTGACATATACACTTCTTTGGTTTTAGAGACAAGAATTTGTTTCACTGATCTTTGCTGATGCCATTTCTTGCCATTTTTGGTAGTCTTTGTCCCTTTGTGTAAGCATGGTACCAGAAGTGGAGAAACAAGACTAAAAACATGGAGCCATAAAGCCAGATAATAAACATGAAAATTGGATACTGGTACGGACAATCATCCATGATGTAGATTTGTCCTATATGGACTGTAATCATAATAAACTGGACCTGGAGGAAAAAGGTGAAAAAAATAAGTACTTTTAAAATAAATTACAATCTTACTACAGAAATTTAAAAAATTTCAGCATAGCTTGTTTGTTGAAAAACAGATAGTAGGGGTGAAGTGGGTGGAAAGCAAGGAGCAACAGGGACAACAATACAAGTTCCTAATATGACAGAGATGCACCTTTGTAGACCACCTCCCCAGAATATTATTCCACTGAAAAACAGGTTTACATAAAAAAGGAAGAGAGTCTGGGACAAACTAAGAAACTCATTGAAATACATTAGGATTCTACCCTGGCCAATTCATATAAAAAAGAAGGAGACAGACAGTGTTTGTCCAGTGACAAATGGGAGGCTCCTTTAGAAAAATTAGCCGGGGTAAAAAAAAAAGAAGAAAAGAAAGTAACCATTACAGGGTTAAGGAACAATAATTCCCACCTTCCCTGCACACTAGTATGTGACAAAAATACACTCCACATGAACTCCAAGTTAAAAGTTCACTGGTACTGCCTCTAGGTCAAAAAGACCAAGTTATAAATATTCAGGCAATATTGTTCGGAGTTGCACATGATTACATGAACTATTCTACCAAAACCAGCCCTGGTACAAGCAGACAGGGTGCTCTTTTACCTCCTTCATCAGCATCTTCACACATTTTAAGCCAATTGTTTAGCCAGAAACTGAATATTGAAAATTCACCTAATAAATGAGGTGGGCATGAAAAAGCACTCAGAAGAGAAACCTTTTGAAAGTGACCTAAAGCGGATAAAACACTTCATATACCCACACTGCAAGAGTGGGTATATTTT